TCACTCTCACAAACACAGAGTGGGAGTTATAGAAAAAGGATAAATTCAACATTTTCTTTACATTCTGAACAGGTGTCCTATTTCTGTTTGATCTAAAAATAAGTGTTCCATCATAAGGACTCCACAGAGCAGCCTCTGTCTAATTCATTTGTTCTGACAACAAAGGCATGAGTAATCAGAAACTTACCTTCCCAAACCCAGCTAACTGTTGTTATTCTTAAGTTAACACAGCAATTGTCTGGACATGCCCTTTGACCTAGTCCTTCTTAGAAAATTATTCATTTGAAGCAGTATAGAATGAAAAGTTCCATGCATTAAGTCTACTAGAAAAGTTTCATCTCTGCTTCACAGGTACAATAGGTACAAAACCAGTAAAAATATTCACATGAAAAGTCAGTGCCAGATGGCAACGTATTATCCAATATAATCAGATTTTTATTAGACTGCAGTTTTTAATTCTAATTGTGGTGGACACAGAGAATATCCCTCCCAAGGTGATATTATTTCTCCTGTTTGTTACAATGATTCAGTTCCATCATGGATTTAGAATGAAGCATTTTCTCATGCTCCATTGCCCTTCTTTGCTATCAAATGAATGCAGACTCCATGCTAAATACAACTGCATTTGCCTTTGACTGAAATCTGTGAGAAAGTTCATGCAACAATACTGTGATGAAGAATTAAGAAAGAGAGTGGTCATCATCCCCCCCGCTTCCCAAGACAGATGAAAAGAAGAATCACCTGTTGTTACTGTTAAGATATGTAGTAGTAGTAGCTGGCAGTGGCATCCCTAGGGTTGGTGTCACCTGGTGCGGTAACACATGGTGCCATCCCCCACTGACCTCCTCCCATATCACACCATATAGTCTTTAGTATTTTTTTTTGTACTAATGTTACTCATAAATCATAATTTCCATATATCACTGAATGTAGTGGTAATAGTCATGACATAAGAACTAGCAAAATTAAAATTATGCCATTTAATTAAAATTCCATATGCACTGCCTAAATGTATTTGCATGTACATAGTTTCATGTGGCTAAAGTGAAAATTTGATAAGATGTGGTGTTTAAGAAAAAAAATTAAATGATATATTTTGAAAAAAATGTGGCAAGAGCTTTTTTAAAGAAAAAAAAGCTTGGAAGCAAAAGGAAAGCAAACCCCAGTTTCATTTTCAGATTCAAAAAATGTTTTAAAAATTCAGAGTGTAGGGGTATGTTGGAAAGTACAGTACTTCTTGTCCTAAAGTCCCTATATCTCGACAGCCCCTACGATGACCCCTCAAATCAACATTTACAAATAATGAGGAAATACTATGTATGACTCATTAATGTCATTGAAACCAAAATAATGAAAAGTAATGATACTACCACTTTACTAAAACAAAACCAACACAACAGAACTGAATAATTATGTTATAGTTAATGTATTAATTCCAGGTCCTGGGCCTACTTGTGTGCACTTTAATATAGTCTTCATGTATTCAAAGTGCCATCTTGGAGGCAGGGAAAGGGAGGAGCAGCCGCATGCCGGCTGCCTCAACCCCTCCCTGAGGACGTCATCAGGGCGCACACTGTTACACACGGCGAGCATCCTGATAACATCCTCCCAACACAGCATCTTCACGCACTGCATCAGAAGAGATGTGGAAGATCTGCACGTCAGCTCTTCCAGTGCTCTTTCCGCAGCTTGAGAAAGGACCGCTGTTTTGGTGCTCCTTTCCCAGTTGCCAAAAGAGTGGATTGAGGCTGAGGTGTGGGGCAGCCTTGGCCCCAATCCTCCCCTTCCCAGGGTGGTCCATGGCCGCCCATCTGCATCCCCTCCTAAGTTTTGTTTTGTTTGTTTTTTAAATTATTAATTAAAATCAGCATTACACAACATACATACCAATTAATCTTTCCCTAAAGGTTTCATACATCGACAAACTAAAATACTTCCTTAGGCATCAGTTCTAAGTTATACAGAGAAAAGAAAGAAGGAGTATATACATAAGTATACTAGCCCATATTTATACACTCTTGTGTATATATATATATATTTCAAGTTCTCTTTTTGTGGAAGAATACAAACCAGAATCTATTCTTTAAAATATTATATATCACAATAATAAAATAAACTTAACTTGTCCTTTATATTCATTCCTCATTTCTCTCAGTCATCATTTCTTGTTTTTCCTTAGCATCATTTTTCCTTGTTTTCTCCTTCATCTCTCTTGCTTCCCTTCTTTCCTATCCCTTCCCAACTTTTCTTTTCTTTTCTCTTCTTCTTCTTCTTTTTCGTATGGCACATAGCAAAACTGTTAACACCCAATGGGGTCTTCTTCTTTTTTTCCGTCTTCTAATTTTTCCTCTTTCTTTATTCTTTCTTACCATTCTTCCTCTCTTCTCCCATCTATTCCTTACAATCCCACCCTACTTCGTCCTCACCCTTACTTTTATACTACTTCCT